AAAAAAAAAAAAAAAAAAAAAAAAACTTTCAAAACAAGTAGAGGATCGATTATGCATTTGACCAATAATACAGTAGATTTTTATTTATTTCTCTATTTTTATGGGTCAGATCAAATTGATCCAAAACCAGCCATCAAATCCAAACTTGTTTATGAAATTATTGAAAAAGATTACTTGAATTTGATGGAGAGAGTTAAAAAAATTGTTGGAAACAAGAATGTTTGTCCAGAAGCTTCAACAAAATTTATGACTCGGGAAGATTTGAATTACCTATAATTGTGGCTCAAGTTCGAGATCGTTTGTGGTTAAGTTTCTGAGAACAGTGAATAAAGTTGGGTCTACAAACTCAACTACAGGTTGAAAGTTTTTGTCATTTGCTAAAGTTCATGTTATGAAATTACTGAAAAAACTTAACGTAAGTATCGAGCCTCGAAGCTTGCTGTTTAAAATTTGAGTGAAAAGAATAATTTTGTTGTAACGGTAGTTGAAAGAGCAATTTCAACAAAAATTGTATTTTTTTCGACACTAATTTAGAGTGATCTTATAATTTTGATCAAATAATAACATATATTTTAAATAAGATTTTAATTTGATAATATTTTGTTTATATGAATTAGATTATATATTTAATAAAATAAATATTTGCACTATAGGATAGCCTTGTCTTAACTGGGAGCGATGAAAGCCCAAATTCTTAATATTAAATATTAAGAATAATGACGTAATATTTTGCAAATGAGTTGAAAATAAGGATGAATCAGGACAGGTTACGGGTAACAGGGGTGGTCATGAAGTCAAATAAACATCCTTGGTCGAATTTGTAATTATGGACGAAAATTCATTAATTTATAAACTTGGAAGCAACAATTCATTATTTTTCCATTCATTTCCATGGCCGCTTAACCAATCCTTTCTGGAACAATAATCTCCCTACCATTCATGGCGGCGCCACTCTGTTTCCCTCGCATTCTTCCCTCCCTTCGTTTTAAATTCAATCATCTCTGCACCGAAGCTCTTAAAAATGGCGCCCAACAATTTTCCCATATTGTTTTCCTTGATCGCCGCCCTTTTAGCCGCCATTTTCACCTCTGCAAATGGGTCGGAAAGAAAAGCTCATATTGTTTACATGGGCGCAATCCAAAACAGAGCAATGGCGGAATCGACCCACCATTTGAATCTTCTTCGTTCGGTAATTGGAACCTCTTCTGTAACAGAAGGTTCTTACATTCGTAGCTATGGAAGAAGCTTTAATGGATTTGTTGCAAAACTCACCGGAGCTGAAGCTGAGCAACTCGCCACCATGGACGGCGTGGTCTCTGTTTTCGAAAGCAAGGAACTCAAAACCCAAACGACAAGATCATGGGACTTTCTGGGGTTCCAACAACCCAAACGAAATCTCGCCGGTGAACTTGACGTCATAATTGGGTCAATCGACTCTGGAATTTGGCCGGAATCGGAAAGCTTCAACGACGAGGGGATAGGCCCGCCACCGCAAAAATGGAGAGGGGTGTGTGCCGGGGGAGAGAATTTTACGTGCAATCATAAGGTGATTGGAGCTCGTTATTACTCCACCTCATCGGCGAGGGACGACAAAGGCCATGGCACTCACACTGCCTCCACGGCGATCGGAAAATCAGTAACAACGGACGGATTTTATGGGATTGCCGGCGGAGTTGCGAGAGGAGCCGTTCCTTCTTCAAGACTTGCAGTTTATTCTGCGTGCAGTCCGAGTTGCACAGATGTCGAAATTTTGGCGGCGTTTGACGACGCCATTGCCGACGGTGTCGATATTATCACCATTTCACTTGGCGGCTTCGATTTGTCTGATTTAAGAGTCGACTGCATTGCCATTGGGGCTTATCACGCCATGGTTAGAGGAATCCTGACCGTCCAGTCCGCTGGAAATGATGGGCCGGTGGTCGGATCGGTGGAAAGTGTAGCTCCGTGGCTGTTTTCGGTCGCAGCCACCACTACAGATCGATCCATCATAGACGAGGTTTGCTCACTCAACTTCCCTCCGAGTTTATACCCAAACAACCATGTTAGATAGTCGTGATTCCTAACATGATATCAGGAGTTACGTTCTTTTAACTTAATCATGTCCCAATAGAATCAGAAGTTACTAACTTCGAAGGTATAGTAAAAAATAACTCAAGTATAGAACAAAGAGTATATTTTGTTCGATGACTCGAGAATCAAGTCTTGATAAAAGGGAGGCGGTTTAAGGATTTCATACCACTCAGTTGAGAGAAGCTCTATAATATGCTTTATTCGAAAAGAGTATCGTTTATTAAGTTATAAAAATTTAAGAGGGGAGTAGTGATTACTAACATTGTTATTTTTGAACCAGACCGTTCTGGGGAATGGAAAGATAGTGAGTGGCTATTCAATCAACCCCTTCACTCCGAACAAGAATGTTACATTAATTTATGGAACAAACGCTTCCAAAAGCTGTTCATTTCAAAACCCAGAAGTGTGCAGTTGTCTTGATCCAAAATTGGTGAAAGGGAAGATCGTTCAGTGTAAGAGCTTCACCGGAATTTTCAAAGCCGTCGATGCCGGAGCAGCCGGCGCCATTGTTCTCAACGACAAAGCCGACAATGTTTCGTTCATTGTTCCCCTCCCTGCAATCGCTTTGAATTTCACAGCTTACGAACAAGTAGCAAATTACGCAATCTCTGAACCAAATCCCCATGTCCGAATCCTCAAAAGTGTCGCCATTAAAGATGGTTATGCTCCGATGGCCGCTCAGTTCTCCAGCCGCGGCCCCAATCTCTTGTTGCCGGATATCATGAAGCCCGACATCGCCGCCCCCGGTGTTGAAATCCTCGCCTCCGTTAATCCTCAACCACCGCAGTCAGACACTCCCGGCGACAATAGAACTGTCAATTTCACAATAATGTCGGGCACTTCCATGGCCTGTCCCCATGTTGCTGGTTTAGCTGCTTATGTAAAGAGCTTCCATCCAAATTGGTCTCCGTCGGCGATTAAATCGGCCATCATGACGACGGCGGAAGAAATGACCAATACCGACGGATTTGTAAGTGGGGAATTTCTTCACGGGTCGGGTCAAATCAATCCAAAACAAGCAATCGAACCCGGACTTGTCTACGAAATTTTTGAAGTTGATTACTTGAAATTTCTGTGTGGGAATGGATTCGATTCCAAGTCAGTGAGGGGCATTTCAGGAAATAAGAGTGATTGTTCGAAATTTTCGACTAAATTCTCTCCGCAAGATTTAAATTACCCAGCAATGGTGTTTGAAGTTTCGCCAATGAAGCCGTTTGTGATTAAGTTTCAGAGAACAGTGACCAATGTCGGAATTGCAAACTCTACTTATAAGTCAGAGTTTTCGGCGTTTTCGGTAGTTTATGTTCTGAAGTCATCCGAAAAGCCTAATGTAAGCGTTGAGCCTCCAGAGTTGACGTTTAGAGATTTGAATGAGAAGAAGAGTTTTATCGTGACAGTAACTGGTGGGTCGATTCCGGCAAGGACAGGATTTTCTTCTGCATTGGTTTGGAGTGACGGAATCCATAAAGTTAGAAGTCCAATTGTGGTGAATGTTAAATTACCACCTATTCCTACCTCAAACTAATGACATGGACTTCCAAATAAAAATGCCAACCACAATTTATTTTATTTTGTTGGTTAGATTTAACATTATTTCAAAACTTCATTAATTTTATATGAAAATAGATGGTATTTGATTTAAATTAAAATTAAAATTATGACCATAATTCCGTTGTCGTCCAGCGGTTAGGATATCTGGCTTTCACCCAGGAAACCCGGGTTCGATTCCCGGCAACGGAACTTTTTTTATTTCAGTATTATTGAACCCCTTGTCTTTACTGGGCTTGGGCCGATGAAAGCCCAATTTCTTAATATTAATTATTAAGAATAATGACGTAAGCATAAGGATGAATCAGGACAGGTTATGGTTAACAGTGGTGGTAATGAAGTCAGTAATTATGTACAAAAATTCTTTAATTTATAAAAATTCATTATTTTTCCATTCATTTCCATGGCCGCTTAACAAATCCTTTCTGGAACAATAATCTCCCTTCCATTCATGGCAGCGCCTCTCTGTTTCCCTAGCATTCTTCCCTTCCTTCGTTATAAATTCAATCATCTCTGCACCGAAGCTCTTAAAAATGGCGCCCGACAATTTTCCCATATTGTTTTCCTTCATCGCCGCCCTTTTAGCCGCCATTTTGAGCTCTGCAAATGGGTCGGAAAGAAAAGCTCATATTGTTTACATGGGCGCAATCCAAAACAGAGCAATGGCGGAATCGACCCACCATTTGAATCTTCTTCGCTCGGTAATTGGAACCTCTTCCGTAACAGAAGGTTCTTACATTCGTAGCTATGGAAGAAGCTTTAATGGATTTGTTGCGAAACTCACCGGAGCTGAAGCAGAGCAACTCGCCGCCATGGACGGTGTGGTCTCTGTTTTCGAAAGCAAGGTATTCAAAACCCAAACGACAAGATCATGGGACTATTTGGGATTCCCTGCAAAACCCACAAGAAATCTCGCCGGTGAAACTGACGTCATAATTGGGTCAATCGACACGGGGATTTGGCCGGAATTGGAAAGCTTCAACGACGAGGGTATAGGTCCACCGCCGGCGCGGTGGAGAGGTACATGTGCCGGAGGAGGAAATTTCACGTGCAACAATAAAGTGATCGGAGCTCGTTTTTACACCTCCATGTCCGCCAGAGACAACGTCGGCCATGGCTCACACACCGCCTCCACAGCCGCAGGAAAATTAGAGAAAACGACTGGTTTTTATGGACTTGCCGGCGGAAATGCCAGGGGAGCAGTTCCTTCTTCGAGACTAGCGGTTTATAAAGTTTGCAATCCGGATTGCTTAGAAGAGAATATTCTGGCGGCGTTTGACGACGCCATCGCCGACGGCGTGGATCTTATCACGATTTCAATTGGCGGAGTCGGTGGGTTTAATTTTGAACATGACTCAATGGCAATTGGGTCTTACCACTCGATGGCTAAAGGAATCTTAACCGTCCAATCCGCCGGAAATTATGGGCCGGTGGACGGAACAGTGGGAAGTGTAGTTCCGTGGGTATTCACCGTCGCCGCCACCACCACAGACAGAACCATCGTAGACAAGGTTGTTCTCGGCGACGGAAACACCGTGAATGGGTATTCCGTCAACACCTTCGCTCCAAACCAAAACGTTCCATTAATTTACGCAACAAACGCTTCCAGAAATTGTTCATCAAAAAATGCAGAAATTTGCAGCGATGGTTGCTTGGATCCATTGTTGGTGAAAGGGAAGATCGTTCAATGTAAGGCCTTCGACGGCGCTTCCAGAGCTTTCAATGCCGGAGCCGCCGGAGCAATTGTTCTTAACGACAATGCCGCCAATGTTTCCTTCGTTCTTCCCTTCCCTGCAATCGCTTTGAAAATGGCGGATTATAAAAGTGTTGCAAATTACGCAATCTCTGCAACAAATCCCAATGTCACGATCTTTAGAAGCGTCGCTACTAAAGATCCTTACGCGCCGACTATCGCCGATTTCTCTAGCCGCGGCCCCAACATGTGGATGCTGGAGATCTTGAAGCCCGACATCGCCGCCCCCGGCGTCGAAATCCTCGCCTCGTTTTCTCCCATCGCGGCTCCTTCCGGCAATGTCGGAGACAAAAGATCTGTCGAATTTTCGATTCTGTCCGGCACTTCCATGTCTTGTCCCCATGTCGCCGGTGTCGCCGCTTATGTAAAGAGTTTCCATCCAAATTGGTCGCCGGCAGCGATCAAATCAGCCATCATGACGACGGCTAAACAAATCGTTCGTACGGATGGAATTTTAATTCGTGAATTTCTTTACGGGTCGGGTTTAATCGATCCAAATCGAGCAATCGAACCCGGGCTTGTTTATGAAATTTTTGAAAAAGACCACTTGAATGTGCTGTGTGCAAAGGGGTATGATTCAAAGACGATGGAAGCATTTGCGGGAAATGATAGTGTTTGTTCTAAAACTTGGACGAAATTTCTAGCTCGAGATTTGAATTACCCTGCAATGGTGGCTCATGTTCTACCGAAGAAACCGTTTGTGGTTAAGTTTCAAAGAACTGTGACTAATGTTGGAGTTGCCAACTCAACTTATAGATCAAAGATCTTGTCGTTTTCTGGAGTTAATGTTTTGAAGTCACGGGAAAAACTTAATGTGAGTGTTAAGCCTCAGGAACTATGGTTTGAGCATTTGAATGAGAAGAAGAGTTTTGTTGTGACGGTGGTCGGAGGGGCAATTTCAACTGAGATTGTTTTTTCTTCGGCATTAATATGGAGTGATTTGGACCATGAAGTTAGGAGTCCGATTGTTGTGATGATCAAACCACCACTCTCTACTATCTCAAACTAATATTGTGGGATTCAAAATAAAAATGATAAAGAATGTCACTTTTATTTAATTGTACCATTAGATTTGTAATATTTCTTTTTTAGTAACTCTAAATTAAAAAAACGAGTGCCAAACTGATGAAGAAAATATTAACTATCGATAGCGACTCCACTGGGGATCGAACCCAGAATCTCTGGTTTCGTAGACCAGCGCCTTATCCATTGGGCCATGGAGTCGCTTATGCAATTGGGTTAACTTGTAAATTATAGTTTCTATGCATTTAAACAAAAAAAAAAGAAAAAAAAAGAAGGCTTTCGTTAATTCTACACAGTTCTCAAAAAACAAGTTTGAAGACTAAAGATGGGATGAAAGAGGTGAAGTATTCTATAATAAAAGCCCTATAATTTTTTACATTCTCAGTCAAATTGAATGCTTAAATTGATTAATTTGCGACAACATAAGAATTTAATTAATAAAATTATAAATTTCCACACATTTACATGTGTGGAATTATTAGTAAATTAATACATTTATGAAATTTAACGATTTAAATTGATATAATTATTAGTTTAGGCAATACATAGATTCTCAAGTCTTTCCAAGTTTCCCACAACACAGAATTCATTTGAAGCTGTAAAAACCATGAATTTGGATGTGCATTTAATAAGTCATCTCGTTTGCCTGCTTACCATTTACCTAGTGGTAACTTGTTGGATGTGCCAATGTTTCTAAATAAGAGTTTTAACAGCAAAACACCCCAATGCTTACTTGGGGGTACATCTGAAGAATCATTGAACTACATTTCTTATGGACAAAATGAGGAAACAATTTGCACTATATATTGTACCCAAGAAGAAAAAATAATAAAAATTTTCTGAAATAACTGATAATGTACAATTTTGGGTGAACATAGTATGTATCGGAACTACCCTCGTAAACTTGTGTGCCAAACGAGTAAGTAGATCCCTTTCGTCCGAATTTTTTGCTATATACGAAGAAATTACTCAAACTCAACTCGTAAAGATGCCTCTACTAGCCTTGAATATGATGCACAACCTTTTCAACTTTCCTTGGCAATCAATGGGGTATGGATCAAAAAATCCCATTTTTTATGTTTTTTCGCAGATCGACTTTCTAGGGTCAGCCACATACATAACACAGAGGTGTGCAGCTATTTATTCCCATGGTGGAAAAAGAACCATCGAATTATATACCGGCTGCAGTGGTGAATGAGTCCCGGATCCAGGTCGAAGCTGAAAGCCCTCTCAAATCAGCCACCCTCCCACACTGCAAAAGAGGCTTGCTTGCTCCCCTCATCTCAACCTTGTCTCACCGGAAAGCTACTTTGATGGATCTTGTATGGCCGCTCGTTACCAAACCTCCTGTTCTCAGTTGGTGCTGCCCCAAGAATCCCCAATGAATTTGGGTCAGGTATCCGACTGCCATTACTCGCAGGTCTATCGGGTGGACAGGGAACTTGATATTGAGTATCGGCATCCCCTCTTCTTCGTCGTTTCCATGCTTCAGATTTCCCTGTTTCGAGCCCTTTCTGAACTGGTTCAGATATTTGGAAGGAAGTGTTATTTTTGTTACCTCGTACCCTCTGAAACTGCCGCGGCAAGGCTCCAAAATGACTGGAATCCCCATCCCTGCCCACAAGAGCAGATCCAGTGCCATTGATGTAGGATGGACCAACTCCCACTTCTTTTTCCTGCTTGAGTTTTGAATAAATTTGATGAAGTCTCTCCCCAGATAAATTCGAAAAGGTGGAGACATAATTCCACAATCGCATTGTCATCCCTGCAATTAATATCAACTGGTTAGATATAATTGCTTCAGAAAAAGCACGAAATTTTTTCAGTCTCCAACATCTTTCCCGCTGAAAGAGAATAAAATCATTAGTTCAAACTGAACACTAAGGATTAACATAATTATAATAATTATACTCGAGCACATACTATCTTGTTTATATGGTTCCTCCTCATGATCTAGAACAACTTGATCAATCCTTCGTCCAAGAAGCTGCAAGTAGTTGCGAATTTTCGAAAGCACCTGATCGCAAAGGAAAAATGAAAGTCAAAATATTATTCCATAAGACAGGAGTTCAGAATTCAGAACCAACATGACAGAACCTTTTCCTTTGGGAGTTTAGCACTAGTTGTCTGTAACCTATGCAGTCGTTCCAGAGTTTTAATTTCACCGGACATGACATCTTCACACCATTCCATCCATTTAACTTCCTTGAAATGCTCATATACTTCTTCGTTGTCAGACATTTCACCCTCCTCTTTCACGAGGTTCTCAACTCTCTGGGGTCTAGAAGCTCTGTCCCTCAGTTTAGTGTTAACCTTGGGAGAACCTGGTTTCCCCTTTCTATCCAAGCCACGTGACGTCGAAACTCTTTGAATATTTTCCTTATCCTTCTTTGCAGTCTTGCGACCAGCAGCTTTGGAATTCAGATTTTTACCGAGTGCAGCAAGTTCCTGGTGAAAAAAAAATGATGAAAACATCATCTGTAAATCATGAAATGACTGTAGTAGAAATTGGATACAGATAAAAAAAAAATTAAAAAATATAAACGAGCACGCACAAAGAAAAAACACTTAAAACTACAGAGAAACTGAGCTTACGCCTGTAACTAAAGACACAAGCAAAGCTGTAAATACCAACACAAAAAACAACTTAATTATCAATTCTTTTTTTAATCTTAATACGTGCAAGCTGCAACCCCATAGCATATAATCTCATATCATTATTTTTATCGTCATCCTTTTGAGATAAGCTTTGGGGTGGTGTGCAAACCAAATAGTGTAATGCCCTGGGTTTTACTAATCACAAGACTCCACTGTGCTCACTTAATAGCATGTCCTAAGAAAATGTGAATTGCAAGGCTTGAAACGAACTTCTTAACAAAGCAAGACAGTGTTTTAAGAACTGAAATTGCAATCTCTACGTAGTCCAAATAGTTGAGAAACTGGCAGGAACTACTAACTTTGCATGTTTATATACTAGCTTGGATATGCAAACTGATAAAGTATAAAATAATCAACCGTATGGAAGGTAAACCAAGTTAAATTGGAAAAGTCAGAATTGAAAGAATCCAATGTCGCCGTCAGAGATTGCACAACTGATATAACTTACCATCTCCAGAAGCGCATTAGCACGATCTCTCAAATTTGGAGCACGTGGCAGAAAGGTCTCATGATGTTGAAGTTCCACTGGAGCAATCTTTTTCATGAAACCAAGTTTTTCATCTAACCTCATCTTTTCCCAATTACCAAAACCATGGTAGTGTATTCCCAAAAGTAATCTTGCATCATCGACTTAGAATAAAGAAATAGAAGTATTAGCAGAAAATAATATAAATGGAGAAAGGAGAGTGGAAGGAGGACAACTGAATACTTACTTTGGTTCCAACCACAACCTTTTGACCAATTTGAAGGTTTCAGGTGCATCAAGGCACGAAATTGTTTGATAGGATCTTCATAACGGCTAATTCGTTTTGCTAGAAGCTGAAGTTCTTCGACTCGGTTGAGAAGTTCATTAGCTTTCACTAGCACACCAAAGAAATCTAACAAAGGTCCCTAGAGATTATTCAAACTTTTATCAACCAACAAGACCATCAAGTTTTCCAAATTGAAATTCATCTTCAGCAATCAGAACATAAATTCTGTTTTACATAATCTAAACAAACCTTGGGGTCTGTTGAACCTGATTCAACCGCGTCTCGACAACCATCGATTAAAGCATTGAACAGCTCAATTTGCGCTTCAGGCTTAGCTGCTCCAACTGCACCACCAACCTCACCAGCTATCAAGCTAATTTGACTCTCATTCCCAAATTTCATGACCTGATTTTAAGTTGTAAAAGAAATCAAGTGGTGTAAACAAATATCAAACATGTCGAAGTTCAGTAGAATGATAAAAGATGACATCACTATTAATTAACGTACAATTAAGATTAGGCACACATGAGCCATTTATCAACAAGAAATTTGAGGGGGTTGGAGATGAAAATTTTCTCTCCAACATCAGTAGTACCACGCCAGTATTTCTAATGCCTCCATAAAGATTGGAAGAACCATAGAAATGTCTAAGAAAAATATAAAAACTTGGAAGGAGGCTTGGTGGGTTTAACTTTCCAGGATTTTTATGATGTTCGTTCGTTTGTGTTCCCAAACAATCAAAACTTTTCTTAAGGCTTCTTAGTTCGCCTTAGTTCACATTTAAATATTGTTTGGTTCCCTTTTATGCTTCCAGCCCCTTTTCATAATTCCATAACATCTATGAATCTTTTATTCAGAAAAGCATATATACACATTGATATTATGCATCCTTCTCAAACACCTTTTTCTTCTCAAACCCTAAATTCAGAGATGATTTTAGTTTTCTTCTCAAACCCTAAACCCTAAAAGCATCTATGTAATTTTAGTTTTCTTTTTTCGCTCCTTTGTTCTTTCTCCATCACTTTCATTGGGTTATTCTTTGCAGGATATTTGCTTAAATTGGAATGCTTTCATTTTCTCTTTGTAATTTTAATTTCCTTTTTTCCACTCCTTTTGGACTTTGTATCTTCATTAGTCTCACTTTGCATTTTCATTTTTTCAATGATTGTTTCTAGCTCATTAATCATTTATTGATGAACTCAGAAAAAAAAAAACAAAAGAAATGAAGAAACTAAAACAGAAACTTGACTCCATGTCCAAAACACCCATTCTTTTCAAGGCACACGTGCTGCAGAAGTAATACAGTCAGAGGCATTTTTACAGACACGTGATTACATAAATTATCCAAAAAAGATTGAAGATATCATAAATCTCGTACCTTCATAAAGAATTATACCATGCACGTAAATTAAATGGCACAAGTGACAATCTGTGATTAGAAATTACACATGCTCAAATCACAAGAAAGAAAGGTAAAGATAAAACACAAAACCTTACCGCACGAGAAAAACGCAATGCATCTCTTTTAGACAAATTCCCACAAGACCACCTTCTCACTTGAGCAGAAGCACCCTCAAGCATTGGTGCTGAAGAAG